ACTTGGGGACATCGCGGTGGCTCCGCTGTCCCCAGCTCGGGCACCCCAGCAGCAGGACCGGGAGCTTTGGGGAGGAATATCCAACCCAAAATGCACTTTACAAGCTTAAAATCCCCATCCAACCCCAAAAATCCTCCCCATTCCAATCCCCCAAACCTTTCTCGTTCTAAACCCAAAATCCTCCTCCTTCAGCCCCCAAAATCCTTCTCATTCCAGCCCCAGAATTCCCGTTCCAGCCCAAAATCCATCCTGTTCTAGCCCCAAGATTCCCCTCTTTCAGCCCCAAAATCCCCGTTCCTGCCCCGAAATCCCCGTTCCAGCCCCAAAATCCTCCCCGTTCCAGCCCCAAGCCCTCCCCGCGTTCCCGGACGGTTTTTGTGGGATTCGCTGCTCCCATCCCCGCCCCTCCCGCACTTCCGAGGCGGCAGGGAGGGAAAATCCCGGGAATTCTTTTCAAACCGGAGACCGGGAGGTGGCAGCAGGAGACCGCGAGCGGCCGGGGGTCCCCGAACCCCCCAAATCCCTCCGGGAAAGGAGGAACCGGGATTTGCAGCTGTGCCTCCCCCATCCCCAAATAAAATCCTGGAGCTGTGTCCGAGCTGGTTCCCATGGGAAAAGAGTCGGGATGGGAGCCCAAAATCCAAAAATCCCAGGAACACAGAATCCCGGAATCCCAGAATTCCTGAATTCCAGAACCCCAAAATCCCAGGAACCCAGAATGCTGGAATCCCAGAATTCCTGAATTCTAGAACCCCGAAATCCCAGGAACCCAGAATCCTGGAATCCCAGAATCCCAGAATTCCAGAATACCAGAATTCCCAAACCCCCAAAATCCCAGAATCCCAGAATTCCATAATCCCAAGATCCAAGAATCCAAAGATCCCAGGATCCCAGAACCCCAAAAATCCCAGCATCCCAGAATGCCCGAATCCCAGAATTCCTGAATTTTGGAACCCCAAAATCCCAGAATTCCCAGTGCGGGGTTTTGGGAAGGGATTTTTGGAAAACGCACATTCCAAACGCAGGGGTTTGATGGGGGGGAAAAAAAAAGGGAAAAATCCGGATTTTTCCAGTCCGGAGATGTTCGGGTTAACAGCTCATTGTTGATCCGGGGATTAATTAACGTGGTTTAATTAATTAATTAATTTAGATTGATTAACTGGTGGCCTCCCAATGAATGATTTATGGAGGCCCCGCGCTAATCCGGGTGGCAGATGTCCCCTGGGTGTCACCTCCGCCCCGCGGGCGGCAAAACAAAGCCCAGACAAAAGCGGGAGATTTGGGGAATTAGGGAATTAATTAGGGAACGGGGGGGGAGGGAACATCCCGGGATGGGCTCGGGGCTGCTCCCCAAAAGGGAATTGTGGCTTCCTTGCGCCACAATTCCCGAATCTGCTCTGCGGGATCGGGGATTTCAGGAGGGATTTCCGCCTGGAAGGGGCTCGGGGAGGGATGGAGGGGCCAGCCCTGGAGGCGTCCCAGGAATTCCTGGAATTCTGGATCGGCTTGGGCTTGATGGGCTTTTCCAACCTCATCAATGCTGGGATTCTGGGATCATGGGATCCTGGGATTCTGGGATCCTGGAATTACAGGATCCTGGGATTCTGGGATCATGGGATCCTGGGGTTCTGGGATCTTTGGATTGTGGGATTCTGGAATTATGGGATCTGGGATTCTAGCATTCTGGGATTTTGGGGTTCTGGAATTCAGGAATTGTGGGGTTCTGCAATTCTGGGGTTCTGAGATTCCAGGGTTCTGAGATTCCGGGGTCCTGAGATTCCAGGATTCTGGGATCTTTGGATTCTGGGTTCCTGAGATTCCAGAATTCAGGAGTTCCGGGACTCTGGTTTCCTGAGGTTTTGGGAACCCAGAATTCAGAGACCCCATGGGCACAGAGCAGCAGGGTTTAGGGGCTGGGGAAACTGAGGCACGGAGGGCCCCGCTGGCAGCAGCCGGAGCAGCCGGAGCAGCCGGGCCGGGATTAGGGCGGGAGCGCGGCTCAGCCGTCTGGGATCGGGGAGAGGGGATGGGGATTGGGGATCGGGGATTTCACCCCGGATCAGGATTAGGCCGAGGAGCAGCTCTGGGCTGGGGGGGAGAATGGGGCACCCAGCACCCACCGGTGCCCAGCAGTGACCAGCAGTGACCGCCTGTGACCGCCAGTGTCCAGCAGTGCCCAGCAGTGCCCAGCAGTGACTGCCAGTGCCCAGCAGTGACCAGCAGTGCCGCTGCCTGCGGGATTTGGCCGCAATCCCCGCGGAGCTCAGGAGTTATTTCGGGGCTGGAGAGGCTTTTCCTTGGGAAATGGAGCTCCTGCAAATCCCAACCGCGCCCGGCAGGGAGATAATTCCCGCGGGATGGAGGGCAATGGATTTTTGGGGGAAAAAAAAGAAAAAAATCTAAAAAAGGAATCCTAAAGAGGCGCGGTTTGGTGGGAAGGGCCGGGGCCGAGGCTGCTCCAGCCTGGCTGCTCCTTCCCCTGTGGAAACGCTTCCCGAAACCTAAAAAACCATGGAAATCGTGAAATTCCTTCCTTTCATCCCAACTCCAGGGCCGCAGCTCCCCAGGGAATCCCGGTGGAGATCCTGGGGCTGACCTGGAGGGTTTTCCGTGGCCGCCCCAAAAATCCTCCGTGGCCATCCCAAAAATCCTCCTTGGCCATCCCAAAGATCCTCCTTGGCCACACCAAAAATCCTCCTTGGCCACCTCAAAAATCCTCCTTGGTCACCCCAAAAATCCTCCTGGTCCATCCCAAATATTTTCCTCATACATCCCAAATATTTTCCCCATCCATCCCAAGGATCTACATTTGTCCACCCCAAATGTTCTTCTCGTCCACCCCAAACATTTCCCTCGTCCCCCCACTCCGGCGGCTCCAGAACCAGCTCTGGGAGCCGCTGGGAGCCGCGAGGCCCCGGATAAATATCCCGGGAATTCCCGGCACAGATTGGGATTTCACGGCCCACCGGAGATCCCGCCCGCCCCTGGCGCTCCGGCGCGAGAAACGCGCGGCCGGAGCCAGACCCGGAGCTCTGGGTGCCAATCCTGGAATTCAGGGTGCCAATCCCAGAATTTGGGGTGCCAATCCCAGAATTTGGGGTGCCAGTCCTGGCTCTGTCACTTCTGGGCCCGCGTCCCCCCGGCTGTTCCGGGATTGGATCCAGGATTTTGGGATTGGGGAGCGGTTGGGGGCCCCGTGAGCTGGGATTTGGGATCCAAGGCTGGGATTTGGGATCCAATGTCAGGATTTGGGATCCAAGGCTGGGATAATGGGCCAAACACCAGGATAATGGGCCAAATACTGGGAAAATGGGCCCAAAACTGGGATTATGGACCAAACTCTGGGATAATGAGCCAAACATTGGGATTATGGGCCAAACTCCAGGATAATGGCCCAAACTCTGGGAAACTCCGGGATAACAGCCCAAACTCTGGGATAACGGATCAAACTCCAGGATAACGGATCAAACTCCGGGACAATGGCCCAAACTCAGGGATAACAGCCCAAACTCCGGGATAATGAACCCAAACTCAGGGATAACGGCCCAAATTCAGGGATAATGAACCCAAACTCAGGGATAACAGCCCAAACTCCGGGATAATGAACCCAAACTCAGGGATAACGGCCCAAATTCAGGGATAATGAACCCAAACTCCGGGATAATGAACCCAAACTCCGGGATAATGAACCCAAACTCCGGGATAATGAACCCAAACTCCAGGATAACGGCTGCAGCCGAGCCGTCCGGGCCATGACTTCTCCTCCTCCCACTCCCCACCAGGTTTTGGGGTCTCCGCCGCCTCTCCCAGCCCCCCCCCCCGTGCCCCCTGCCCTGTCCCAGTGCAGACACAGCGGCTTTTCCCGATCCGTCAGCGAATTCCCGGCTCCTCCCTGACCCCTCGCTTCCCTCCTCCTCCTCCTCCTCCTCCTCCTCCTCCTCCCCAAATTCCTGCAGCGGGGGCAGCTCCGGGGCCTCTCCCGCTCCCGGGACCCTCCGGCACCAGGGAAGGAAGTGGGGTGGATTTGGGAGAAAACCCCAAAAACCCCACGGGCCTGGGTTCCCCCGTGGGATTAGTTTTAACAAAAATCCGATGTTTTCACCCCTTTTTTGCTGCAGCCCAGCTCGGGCGCTTTGGAACCGGGAGCTTCTGGTGCCCCCCGGGAATTTGGGAATTCCTGGGGCTGGGGGATCCACGGAAAAGAGAGGAGGGAGCCCCCGGCGAGTCCCGGAACGGGACAAGGCCCGGGATCGCTGCCAAGGCAGGGAAAAAACGTTTGGAAATCCCCGGGAGAGAGGGAAAAAATGGTCTTTTCCATGGAAAAAAATGCGGGAAGGAGGGGCTGGGCGGCCTCTGACCGCGCTGCTCCCCGGCCCCCTTGGCCCAGCTCCGGGCCGGGCCGGGCGCTTTTCCCAGGTTCCCTCCAAATCCCTCCAGGCGGAGAAAAAAAATAAAATTCTATTTAAGATTAAAGGGGGGAAAAAAAAAAAAAAAAAAAGGAAAAAAAAAAAGAAAATGAGAGAGAAGGAGAAAAGAGAAAAAGCTCAAAAAAGAGGAACTGGGGGAAAAAAAATTTCCAGCCCTGAAGAGAAATGGAGATGGAGGAGCTCCCACGCACAGGGGTGTGCACACACACACGGACACGCGTGGCCAGATGTGCGCGGGCTGGCCAGATGTGCCTCTCCAGGTGTGCCTCTCCAGGTGTGCACACGCAGCAGCACAACCCCGGTGCAGGCGTGCACCCCAAAAACGCAGGTGTGCACCTCAAAAACGCAGGTGTGAGCCCCAAAAATGCAGGTGTGAACACCAAAAATGCAGATGTGAGCCCCAAAAACGTAGATGTGAATCCCAAAAATGCAGATGTGCACCCGACACGCGTGCAAACGTGGGTGACGTGTGAGAACACGAACACCCCAAAACACACAGGCGCCTGTGCGCACCCCAAAAGACGCATTTACACCCCAAAACACACACTTACACCCCAAAACACACGCCGCCGCTCGCTCGGGGCTCGGCGCGCAGCGGAGCCGCCGGAGCTCCCGGCCCTTCCCGGCCCCTCCCGGCCCCGGCCCGGCCGGGCCAGGCTCCAGGCAGCGCTGCCGGTACCGGGGGCGGCGCGGGGCCGAGAGGGGCGGCGATCCCCCCCGCCCAGAGCCCCGGAGCCCCGGCGGGCCCGGCCCCGGAGCGCGGCCGCCGCCACGGGACGGGAGATGCGGATCCTCCTCCTGTGCCTGCTGACTCTCGCCGGGACCCGCGGGCAAGGTGGGCACCGGCACCGGGAACCGGGATGGGGATCGGGAACCGGGATCGGGAACCGGGCACCGGCACCGGGCACCGGGATCGGGCACCGGCACCGGGCACCGGCACCGGGCACCGGGCGTTGCGAGGGCAGCGGCCGCTGGACACCGGGAGCGACACCGGGAGCGGCACCGGGAGCGGGACCCGGAGCGGGACCGGGAGCGGCAGCGCGGCCGCCCCGGAGCGCCGTTCCCAACTCCGCGGGCAGAGCTCCAGCCCCGCTGGCCGCCGGTCCCGCCCGTTCCCGGCGGGATGAGAGCCCCGAGGGGTCCCGGGGGGTTCTGGCGGTGCCGGCGGGCCCGGGCTCGCCGCTTGCGGAGCCGCCGTTGTGGTACCGGAGGGTTCGGGTGCAATCGCGGCCGGTTCGCCTCAATCCCGGGCCCGGTTTGGCCAAATCCCGGGGTGGCTTCTGGTGGATTCCCTCGATCCGGTACCGGGGGATCCCGGTGGGACCGGGCCCGCTTCTCCCGAACCCCAGGGCTGGTTTTCGTGGACCCCCCTTCGGTACCGGGGGATCCCGGTGGGACCGGGCCCGCTTCTCCGCGCTCCTGGGGCTGCTCCTCCTGGACCCCCCCTCGCTGCCCGATGGAACCGGGCCCGGCTCTCCTGGACCCCCCCTCCGGTACCGGGGGGTCCCGACGGAACCGGGCCCGGTTCTCGCTCCCCGGCCCCGCTCCGTTCCCCCGGTTCCGGTCCTGTTGGAGCCCCCGGACCGGGACCGAGCTTTTGGGGCCGGGTCCCCATCCCCGTTCCCGGGGCCGGTCCGGGGGGGGGGGTCGGGGACCGTGGGGTCAAACGGGACCCCCGGGAGGGGGCGGGGGGACTTGACCCGGCCTGGGGGGGTCCGTCCGTCTGTCCGTCCGTCCGTCCGTCCGTGGCGAGTGCAGGCGCTGCCCCCGGGGGGGCCCCCAGGACCCCAATCCGGGCATTCCTTGGGAGAGGGGCTGGGGGCAGCCCGGACCCCCCCCTTTGCCCACCCCCACCCCCTCCAGAGCTGCCTCCCGGGGTGGGGGTGGGGAACAACCCAACCCCCCAAAACCCCCCAAAACCCCCAGACCCCTCAAAACCCGCGCTGTGCCCTCCCCGGGGGAAACTGAGGCACGGGGAGCTGCTCTGCCAAGGTCACGCTGAGGAA